AAAAAAAAAAATGTGCATTGCTGTGTTTATGTGGGAAGCCCACCCTCTGTACCCTTTTCTTCTCTTGCTCAACAGAGATGAATACCACAACAGGCAAGTTTATTTAGTTAATCTCACACACCAACAAATCTTGAAAAAACAGTAGGAAAATTAGTTATATTAATGGACAACACTGTTTAGTTTATTGGACATATATGAGGATTTTTCTCCAAAAATTTTCATAGGAAAATAATGAATCAACTAATATTTTGTATCCATGTTTTAGGCCGACAAAGGCGGCCGGATGGTGGGAGGACGGCGAGATACTAGGCGGCAAAGATGAGGTGGCTGGCGGCACGTGGCTGGCGGCTTCCAGACAAGGCCGAGTGGCTTTTCTCACAAACGTGCTGGAACTCCATACTCTCCCAGAGGCTAAAACCAGGGGAGACCTCCCCATTCGTTTCCTCGAGGTTCCACATTTTTGCGTGTTTTCGATTTCATTCTCATGCAATTTGTTCTCCTTTTCAATTATTCTTTTCAAGAAAGATCATACTTTGTCAATGTGGTTTTGGTGGCAGAGCAATAAGAGCCCGAGGGAGTTTGCGGACGAGCTAGCGAAAGAGGCGAATCAGTACAACGGGTTCAACCTCATAGTGGCGGATCTCGTCTCGAAATCCATGGTTTATGTGTCGAACCGGCCCAAAGGCGAGCCCGTTTCAATCCAGGAAGTTCGTCCGGGCATTCACGTCCTTTCAAACGCAACTCTCAACTCTCCTTGGCCTAAGGTAATCGAACACCTTTTTTTTTCCCGATATTTTTCAATTTTACTTTCGTTTTGTACTGAAAAATAAAAATATAATTCTCAGGCGGAGCGGCTTGAACAGAAGTTCAAGGAGGAAGTTGACCAGTACGGCCAAGAGGAAATCCCGTTGACCAAAATGGTCGGGAAGTTGATGAGGGACACGGTGAAAGCCGACAAAGGAAAGTTACCGAACATATGTTCCCCCGACTGGGAACTCGGGTTGAGCTCCATCTTTGTTGAAGTCGACACGCCACTGGTAACCTTCTCAATCATCGATGGCTGATTTTTACACATTCGTTACGGTTTTTCCTAATTTGTTCACTTGATCATGGGACAGGGAAAGTACGGGACTAGAAGCACGGCAGTCTTGACCGTGAAGGCATGTGGTGAAGCTAGCTTTTACGAGGTATATCTCGAGGGCGGCCAGTGGAAAGAACATACCTTGGATTACCATATTGAGAAACTGTGATTTTGCAGCTACAGAAAGGATGAAGAAAAAGACTATATAAGTTGTACTGTTCAAACATATTTCATCATTTCACACCAAAAAAAAAAAAAAGCAATTGTACCTTCTTTGGGATTTCTGTATGTTAATGGAAAAATAAAGTGTTCTTAGCCATATGTTCAAACTCGAAAGGAGATTCGAAGATTCTGAGATTCATTTCTGTGCAACTGTTGTCTGGACAGTTTATTTAACGAAAATGAAATATTTCGTTGCCCGACATCAGAAAGGGAAAAACTATTATAGGGTGCATATACATTCACAGGCAAGGTCCATATTAGAATCTCCAGCACATCAAAGGAAATCATTATATACAGCAGTTTGAAGTACCACATGAAACACAATGGCAATGTTAATGCAATCAGCCGGCCATATCAGCCGGTTATGAACTGCAAAAACATATTATTTGGCACTTCAATTTTCTTGGAATGGCGATAGTACAATACCAATTTGTTCAACCAATTTCACACTATTCATATCAGAGGACAAAAAACTGAAAAGCTTCCTCATATTTGGGTAAATCCTCACCATCATCAAGTCGATTAAAACAAAACCGCACTAACAGAAAGAAACTGAAAAATAATTCGAACACAGAAACACCACAGCAGATTCAGAAATAAAAAGCCTTTCATTCAATACTACATAAACTTCCGAGGTCTAAGAAATTAAACAGAACCACCATCGCTAATCCCAAACTGTAAAACTACTAAAATTCATGTCTGTAGACAAACTAGGCAAGGTGAAGTCATATCCATGTCAACATATACCAACAAAGTTAAAAGTCAGGAGATCAACATTTTAGCACAGGAACACATAAAATCCTGTTGAAGGGATCTCGTCATCCTTGGCAGCTCCTAGTCATCATCTTCTTCCTCCTGCATATCAAATTGAACAGAACAAAATGACTCTCAACACGTATTGCAAAGACTTAATCGTATAACCAAATAAAAAGTCAATGTACATGACTGACCTCTCCACTGCCTTCATCATCATTCTCATCATGAACCTCTGACTTTGATTTGTCAGATTCATCATCACCACTGCCTCCAGCCTATATGAGCACATTACAATGTGGTAAGGCCAAATCAGCAAGTTACAGACACACACACACACACACACACACACATATTATTTAAAGAACAAAAACTAAAGCTAAGGATGAATTGAACACTTAACGATAAAGCTTAATTACCAATTTTTTGTTGTAGGCTTCCATCTTCCGTTCATATTCCTCCTTCTTCTTCATTGCCTTTGCCACAAATGGAGCCTTATCCTAATAATTTCATGATGTATAGGTTTACAATGGGGAAAGGGGAAAACTATTAACACGTGTCACGAGATAACTAGGTATATTTACCTCATCACTCATAGACTTCCACTTCTCACCAGCAGCTTTACCGACCTACATATTGCCCCATCAATGGTGTCAAATAGTACAGATTTAAACAATATTGGTTCAAGAATAAGGATGTCATAAGAAGAGCACCCACAGCAGAAACTGATTTGTTGGTGGGGTGTTTTTCCTTGTATTGCTGCCTGAAACCTTCCCTGTAACCCGGTAAGCATATCAGAACACAAACAAAATTACAGCACTTGGTCTTGACAAGGTAATAAAAGAATGGTACCAACAAAAGGTTAGGAAGCCAGTATACAGTCATGCAATTTACATACAAGAAAACAAAGAATGCGCTTGGAGCCCTCTTTGGCTTGTTTGGGTCCTTTGCTGCTTTCTTCTCTTTCTTTGTCTGCTTCTTCACAGCCAACCTAATATCAATTACAAGTATACAACAAAACTAGTGAGCAGAATATCAATAAAAACAGAGACAGAAAGAACAAAATTAACAAAAAAAAAGAAGGTTAATAAGTTCTTAAAACATCTATCAGGCAGTATGTTCGGTTTGATCACAGCAGCAGTTTTTAGTTGTCAGTGCAATTATGTAGCTTTGAGAAAAATATATATACAGTTTTAAAAAGAGCCAGGACAACAAGTATAAACGAGAAACATTAGTGTTTGTTATGTCGACTACTGTTGCCATACGTATTACAACAAAAGATTAATCAAACATTCAACGTGGAGTTAAAACAACAAAATCTAAAACCAAAGGCCAACAAGAGATCACAAAAGTCACAAATCAACATCCAGCTCAATAGAAACTCATATCTATTGTCAACTAGGAAAACAATATAACAGAAAACGACAATCCAGCATTTAACTATGTAAATAGGTTATTTGGCGCATTAGTTAACCAAATAAACCTAAAACCACGACAAACAAATTCATCAAACTTAAGCTAACTAAACGACTGACGAAATTCGGCAACACATAATACATCTCAGAAAACACAACCAGCTTACATTTACCGCAGATTCACCACCATCCGGAGAGAGAGAGAGAGAGAGAGAGAGAGAGAGAGAGAGAGAGAGAGATTACAACCGCACATACAAGGTAGAGAGAAATGAATTACAAAATTACACCAAATAAAGGCTCAACGGAAACATATCTTACCTGTTGTCGGCCTTCCTCGAATCAGCTTTCGAGCTACCTCCTTTCATGGCGAAGCACTTCGAGAAAAAATAAAAAAAAAAACAAAAATAAAAAGATTCTGATAAACGT